TCAATGGTTAAGAGCACTTGTTCTAAAGGACCTGGGTTCAATTCCCAGCATCCTCATGGAGCCTTACCACCTCCTTAAGCATCAGCACGTGTGGTGCACAGACACACATGAAGGCCGAACACTCCACACATAAATAATGAAATAAGTCTAAAAATAAATATAAACACAAATACATCGTTATTGAATTTTCACGTGTCAACATGAACATTTCCCCCAGTGCAGGGGATGGAACCAGGGCCTTGCACGTGCTGGTCACGAGCCTGCTGTGCACTGAGCCATGTCTCTGCCCAGCTCTGCACAAGTAGGTATTTTTAAAACCCACTTTACCCCTCAAGGGAGAACTCTTCTTGAATTTGCAAATAGATTGTGTTGAAAGTTGGGTTTTGTTTTTTAGTAATTCCTGTACTTAAATAACTGAATGATTTTTCTAGTTTTCAATCTTGAACTAAGAGTGACAACTCTTTTCCTTCTCTATGAAATGTAAGAAACTCATTGGAAAATGCCAGTTTATGTTACTCTTGTATTTTTCTTCCTGTTCTGGAGTTTCTGTTAGTGTTGAAATATGTAGTGCAGGCTGACCTCAAACTTATTATACCTCTTTCTTTTATCTCCTGCCTGGGATTACAAGCATATTGGCATTTCCTTTCTGTCTATTGAATTAAAATAACGTAAGTTTAACTCTGTTGAGTGTTTACCTGGGGCCAGGCACTGTTCTGTTATCCCATATCTATGTGTGTCTATATATACTACGTCAGAGGAAATGAAACTACCTTCTTTAGCTGATGTTTGAGCTGAACTGTTGAGATATGCATGTGCATGTGTAAGTGTCCTCCTGGCTTTCAATTCTGCACGTAGCCAAGGCTGACTTTGAGCCCTCCCCCTCCAGAGTGCTTGCCATACAGTTGTGTATCACCACATTTGACACAAACCATAACTGAATAGTTGCTCTCGTAGAAACCGTCTATAAACATCACCATTTTCTTTCTTGACTCTTAAGCATTTAGAATCAACCTAGATATAATGTCATTCTAGGAGTTGGGTGGGAGGCACCCAGGGATACTGACTTGTTGGATCATGTGTGATGAGCAAAGTAGTTGGATCCGCCTTTCTCAAGTGCTCTCTTGGCAGAGATGGCACCTCTCTGCTGCCTGAGTACATTTGGCACTTTTGGTTGATTAGTTTTCATGTTGAAGCATCTGTCTCCTGCCTGGTAGGAGTGTGGGGCAAAGGTAACACGGAGATTAGTCACTGAGTAAGTGGGAGGCCCCCTCTCAGGGTCAGAAACCACTCCAGCAACAGTGCTGGTTCACTTCAGGTGAAGGCTGAAGGGACCAGAAGCTGCAAGCTGGGCAGTATTTAGGAAATGATTATTCCAGAGGAACTCCCAATCAGTAAGTGAGACTCATGCATTTTAAACAGCCTTAGGAACACGGCTGTTTCTCAAAAGATAGTGCCCTAAAGACCTTGTTGGACATTTGTTTTTATAATGTGAGTATATGTACATTTACACAGTGACTTTAGGGGAATTTTTATGGATATCCATTCCCCACAGAGAGTCCAGAGTGGATGGAGACTGTTTCTTCACTCGGCTTCCAGGCCTCTCAAATGCTTACGTAAGATAGGTTTACAGATGTGCGGCACTGTGTTCGCATCTCTTCAGTTATCAGGGCAAATATTTACAGTGAATGAAGCAATATAGAGCAGATCCAAACATATATTAGAAAAGATATTAGGATGTATCTCTGTGCACGTGTGCACATACTCAACTGTGCTCATTTGTGAGTGCACGGGTGCACACGGGGTCAGAGGACAACTTTGTGTGTTTGTTCCTGCCTTCCATCTTGTTTGTGACAGAGTATCTCTGCTGTTCTCTAGGGCCTAAGCCGGGCCAGCTGGACTACAGGATGTCCTGTCTTGTCATAGGAACACTAGGATTTCTAATATGAGCTACTGTGCCCGTCTTTACGTGGGTTCTAGGAATTGGAAGTCCAGGTCCTCATACTTGTGAGGCAAGCACTTATTCACTAACCTGTCTCCCAGCCGTCAGGTATTTTTAATCCTTTTATAAAAAAGTAGTATCAGTATATGAGCCCGACGCTGGGAGGTGGCTGCACACCTTTAATCCTAGCACTCAGGAGGCAGAGGCAGGTGGATCTTTGTTAATTCGAGGCCAGCCTGGCCTACACAGCTAGTTCCAGGACAGCCAAGATTACACAGAGAAACTCTGTCTTGAAAAACAAAAACAAAACATGAGTCTGAGTTGTGGTGGTGGTGGTGGTGGTCGTGGTAATAAAGATGATATGATGACAATGATGATTTTCTGGCTTTGTAGCCCAGGATAGGCTTGGGTTCCTAATCTTCCTGTATTACCTCCCGAGTGCTGGGACTTACATGCCTCTGTTTCAGGTGCTCGATGCAGGAGTTATTTTTGAAGAAAGCATCATTTCTGCTGTATATTCTAATTAGATGGTGCTCAGAATTTTTTTTTTTAACTGACTATATTTACCATTTTTTGGTTTTGGTCTGTTCTCCCTGATCATTTGCTTTTTTACTGTGTCATAAAAATAATTGAATGCATCTCCCATCTGTTCCATGTAGATAGTAAGCAGGGCGTCTCTGAGTTGTTTCCTTTGGTGTCTTTGAATAGGCAGCAGCTATGGCTTTTATTCTATTGCTCTGTGGGAGAGGAAAGAGGTAAATAACTCAATAGAATCCACGCTATCTATTGTAGGCTCTAAAACTTCAAAATCATAGGCTGTTGATGGAAAAAGGAAGTTCACTATGGTTCTGATTTTTTTAAAAGATTTATTTATTTATTATGTATACAATGTTGTGTTTGCATGTACAGCTGCATGCCAGAAGAGGGTATCAGATTTCATTTTTTTAGATGGTTGTGAACCACCATGTGGTTGCTGGGAATTGAACTCATGACCTCTGGAAGAGCAGCCAGTGCTCTTAACCTCTGAGCCATCTCTCCAGCCCCTGTGGTTCTGATTTTTGTGAATTCAAACAGTTGAATTACATTCATAATCATCCTCACCATCGTCATTATTATTTTGTCTGTCTATCCATCAGTCGATTGACCCACCCAGAGATCTACCTGCCTCTGCTGGGATTAAAGGCATGTGCTACCACCACCCAACTTTATTATTATTTTCAATTATGTGTAAGTCTGCACATGAGTGCAGCCATGGCCTGGAGTTAGAGTTACAGGTGGCTGTAAGTGACCTGGTATAGTTGCTGGGAACTGAACTCAGGTCCTCTGAAGAAGGACATGATCTTAACTGCAGCCCCTGTGTTACTTTCTTGATTTGTCAAACTCCGTTTCTAGGTTATTTTCGCTGTTGTTTAGTTCTGCTGATGCACATGTTACTTTATTACCAAGGCTGGCCCAACCTCAAAGTCCTCCTGCCTCAGTCTCCCTGTGGCATGTTACAGATGCCCGTCATTTTGCCAGCAGCTGGGGGCTGATAGTGATGTGGTACCTGTACATCAGTCTCACATAGTCCATTTGTCATTTCTCCTATGTCCTTCACCACACAGACGGTAAAGGCAGGGAACTTTTGAACGAAGGTGAAGATTTCTCATGTTTTCTGTGCTTCGGGTTTCTTCCCCTGAAACCTACCTTCTTATTTTTGATTCAAGGTTTTACATTGTAGCTTGGCTGGCCTCAATCCCAGTAATTCCCCTGCCTTACCCACCCAAGTGCTGGTACTGTGATTATCATCATTACCATTATTATTAGTGTTAGTGTGTACATGTGAGTGATGTGAGGGCCAGAGGTCAAAGGTAATTGTCTTTTCAACCTTTCTCCATCTTTTTTGTTTGTTTGAGACAAGGTCTCACTATGTAACACTGGGTAGCCTGGAATTCACTATGTAGGCTGGCTTTGAACTCACAGAGGCTGCTTTGCCTCCTGAATGCTGACAGCAAGGATGTGCAACACTGTGCCTAGCTTCTTAAATGGGCTGGAGAGAGAGGTCAAGTCTTCATGCTTGTGCACAAGTAAGCCATCTCCCCACTTTTAGAATGTCTTTAAATACACAAAATGGATAGGATTACTAAAGAAACCGTCTCAAAATATAAAGCCTGGTGTGCTATTTCAAGCCTGCTCAGGCAAGAGAATTGCTGCAAGTTCCACGCTAGCCTGGGATGTAGAGCAACAGGCCGTGTCTCCAGAAAAGAAAACCAAACCCATACTTAGCTAAGTGTTAACTTGTGATACAGTAATAGTGCTTTTCAGTGTAAGCATGAGGGGCTGGGGTGTGTCTCAGTTGGTGTACTTTCCTCATATGTAGAAGGCCTGGGTTCAGTTCCCAGCACTGTGTGAGTTAGGAAGCCCAGTGCTCACAAGGAAAAGACAGGAGTCTCAGAAGCTCAAGGTCATTTCAGGCTGGTCTACATGAGACTGTGTGTGTGTCCACGCATGCAATTGGTGTAAGCATGTATAAGTGTTGGCACTAAGTACAGATGATATATAAGCATCTACTGCACCTTTTGTGGCATGAAAATAGATGGTTTTTATTGATTGAGAATTACAGGTACTATGGCTTATTGCCAACGCTGATGATTAAAGAATGTGTTGAATTTTATAGTCAGGAGGTGGTGAAAATATGAGATTCTCCCTCCTTCCTCCATTCCCAAGTTTTCTAAATGCTATCATGAGCCCCTTGGCTGTAATCTCAGAACAAAGACATCTAGACTAAGGCTTTGTTTGTGCCCTAGGAGCCTTGAAGGCTAAATGTAGTCCTCTGAATAATGTATTTTACCAGTTTTAGTGGTTTATAAAATACCAATCATTTAACAATGTTATGTTCAAGTGTCTCAGGGCACACCATGGGGTTATTTTGCCTTTTTTGTGGCCTACATTTCATCATTACATTTTTGTGTGTACTTAACTTAAAATTCATATTTTAAATATTTTGTAAGCTTCCATGTTGCTGTTAGTGTGTTTTGCTTTTGTATGTTTTGTACCCTAAAATGTTTTAATTCTTCTGCAGGATTCGGAAACTTCAGATACGAAATATCCCACCCCACTTACAATGGGAGGTAAGAACTGCTATATTAAGCTAAAATCTTGGTGTGGGAGCCTAGTGTTTTATGTTCCCAAAGATTTTTCTCCCTCCTTTAGTTCTCAGGTGTACTACAACCTAATTCTCCTCCCTAATGTAGGATTAAATCCCTTAAAAATCTGTTCTCTAGAATATTTTTTAAAGTGCCCAACAATTAATAGTAATTGTTTCCCTTCTCATTCGGCTCCAGCTGTATAAAGTCCTATTGAACTGAGTTACCCACTGGAATGAAATATGATGTTCCTTCCTTGGCAGAATTCTTAAAAGACAAATACTTGCTACATAACACTTTATTGCTTCTTTTTGCGTAAATGATGTCTTTGCAGTGATTGTATATCAACAAAAACTATATAGCACAATTGACTAGTCTCTGTTGGCAATTTCCACAGTGTCGTAACAGTGTCATAGTGAGAATTTGAGAATTTGAAGAGGTCAAGGTAAATGATTGTTACCTTCCAGACCATGAACTGTGAAAATGAAAACAAAACAAAACAATACAAACAAAAAAAACCCCCACAAAAACCCCAACCTTATTATTGTGTTTACTGTGTGTATCTGTATCCTTGCTTGTGGAGTACAAAGGACCACTTTCAGGAGTAGGACCCAGGGATTGAACTCAGGTCCTCAGGCTTGATTTCAACAGCACCCTTACCAGTTGAGCCATCTTGCTGGCTTCCCTGAAAGGTTTTAAAACTTGCCTTGAAGTCTTGCAAGGAAATTGCTCAGTGTTTGAGTAGTTAGAGCATGAATGTTGAGTGACTTGACCTGCACTTAGGTTTCTAAATGAATTTGCTGCGTTATTAAAACAGAGCCCTTATTAAAATGCAAAGCATGATTTCAAGGTTTCCTTGGCAGTGAGCTGAAGTTGTGAATTTTGACTCTTGAAGGTCCCTGCTTAGTGTCAAATCATTTGTACTTAGAGTATTTCATCCAGTGCTGTCTTGTTCTGTAGCTATTGCATTTTGATCTTGAAAAGCACGGTTAGTTTCTTAGTATATTCTATATGTTTTGTTATATAATAAAAACCCATACTGAGGGTTGAATGGTGACTTCAGAGATTAAACTATATGTGTTTTTTTTTAATTTATTTATTACTTATTACAGTTTATTCATTTTGTATCCCAGCTATAGTCCCCTCCCTCATCTCCTCCCAATCCCACTCTCCCTCCTTCTTCTTCCCTATGCCCCTCCCCTAGTCCACTGATAGGGGAGGTCCTCCTCCTCTTCTATCTGACCCTAGGTCTCATGAGGACTGGCTGCATTGTCCTCCTCTGTGACCTGGTCAGGCTGCACCCCTCAGGGGGAGGTGATCAAAGAGCCAAACACTGAGTTCTTGTCAGAGACAATCCCTGTTCCCTTGCTAGGGAACCCACTTGGAGACTGAGCTGCCATGGGCTACAGGTGAGCAAGGGGTCTAGGTCTTCTCCATGCATGGTCTTTGATTGATTCATCAGTCTCTGCAGACTCCCCTGGGCCCAGGTTTTTGGCTCTGTTAGTCACCTGGTGGAGCTCCTGTCCCTCCAGGGTATTTCCTTGTTTTAGATAATGTTTGTTTAGGAAATTCATTTAGCTTGAGGAGTGGGCCTCAAACTGAGTATCATGATGGTGTCAAGATCATAAATTTGAGCCCCTGTTTTAAGATGGGCCATATTAAATGTGATTTAAGGAGATACTCTGTTAGGAGTCTCATCTAGGGCTGTTGGTGAGATAGACAGTTAGAGCAGCCCAAAACAGGCAAGAGAATAATGTCCTGTCAGAGTTTGGCTCTGTCCTGGCTCTCTGCTGGAGCCAGCAGCAGAGTTTTCATTGAGATTGTATGACTTCTCATGACTTTTTTCCCTTGCATTTCTCCTTTGTTCTGAATAAAATCTAATTAATAAGACAAACTTTTATTTCTAATTTTTTTCATTATTCATTCTCTCTTCCTTCCCTCCATCCTTTCCTCTCCTTCTTTCACAATGTCTTGCTATGTAGTTCAGACTGGCTTTAAAATTTGGACCATCAGTCTTAGCTTCCTGAGTGTAATCCCTCCTGAGATTACAGGCATATGCCATCACTTCTGGTCCCATAGTCTTTTTAAAGGGGCAAGTGAAATTAAAGTAATTACATAAGAATGCAGAAGAAGATTGGAACTAGAATTTGGAATTTTTTTCAGCTGTGATTCCCTCTTAAACTTTTGATTTTTTTTTTTTTTTGACATTGATGAACAAAAATAATTTTTTTCTCACTTAGGTTGGGGGCAGACAGGATCTTGCTGTTTAAACTAGACTAACCTCAGACTTACAGCAGTCCTAGGGGTTTTGGGGTTTGGGATTACAGGCGTGTGCCAGCTTGTGTGACTGAGAAGAGATTGATGGGGCTTGTTACGAGTGGGTTGAGTGGGCAGGTCCTTTCCCTGAAGACCTTCGCAGCACCACTTACTCCATCCCTTCTTTGAAACGTCACTTGTGTGTCTTTATCCAAGCACCCTGAGTGTGCTGGCTGGGTGTGCTGGCTGCCAAAGCCTTGCTGTGGACAGTGATCACTGTGCACTCACGGTCCCAAGTCCGTTATAATGGAAGGGTTAGACTTTGATTCCACTGATTAATCTTAGGATCACAGAGGGTGAAACAGCCAGGCATATGACTCATGATCACATGAAGGAGATGCATTGCACAGACAGTGTTCCTGCCTTAAAAAGAAGTTTGAATACATTCTGTTTTAATTAAATTTTGCAAGATGTATGGTTGCTGGGGTACAAATTAAATGATAACCAAGCCTATGGTACGAGGCATTTCATAGCATAAGCAGTACTGTTTTGTTAGCTAGTCAGTGGCCTGAAAAAGGAACGAGACATCTAGAACACAACTTGTTCATATGGCTGTAGTGAGCTGAGAGCAGTGTGCAAGCTCAGTGGAACAGCGTACAGGAAGCGGCAGCCTATCGGGAGACTTAAATTGTAGCACCATGACTTTATCTCTGGGCAGGGGCTTTAAATACATACATGCGTGCATGTATACGAATGCCTGTGCCTGCACACACACTGTGGTATGCATGTGGCTCTTAGAGCCAGTTCTCTCCTACCTCGTAACCTGAGGGACATAGCTCAGGCTGTCAGTGTAGCAACAAGTGTCTTAACCCACTGAGCCAGCTTGCTAGCCCTGAACGCACTTTATATGAGATGCGTTTCCCTCATTTCTGACCTGGAGGTGATGATAGCAGCCCCCCCACTCTTACATGCCTTTAATACCAGCACTCAGGAGGCAGAGGCAGGTGAATCTCTGTGTATTCAAGGTCAGTCCGGTCTGCATAGTGAATTCCAGAATATCAGGGCTACACAGAGAAACCCTGTCTGAAAAGTTGAAACAAAAGCAAGCAAAAGAAGAAAGAACAAAAAGGAAAGGAGGAGGAGGAGAACACCACCACCTACTATGGTCTTTAAACAATTGTTGGTCTGTATGAGCATCCAATACCCTATGTATGTGATAGAACAACCTCCCAACCTTGATCAGATTCTTCATGTGGCCGCCAGGCCCAGCTGGTCCCACAGCACACAGTAGGCCTTCACGAGGGGATTTGAATGTGGAGAATCACATAGGATCTCAAGAGGTTAAAGAGCAAAAGAGATAGAAGTGGTTAGTGACTGAGGGGCGCCAACATTCAGATCCTAGGAACTTGGAGCAAGAACCAGAGTAGCTGAGACTCTCTGAGATACATAAGCTCATGGCTCCAGTCCTGTTGCTGGAGGCCTACAGCCATAAAAGGCTCTGGGGGTCAGCTGCTGGAATGGGGATGAGCACAGGACTAGAAGGAGCTCATCCTACAATTTCTCTCTGCTCCATCCCCAGCCTCCCTCCCACTGCCCTTGCTTTCTCTGTAGCAGCAGCTTACCAGGAACAGGTGTGAAAAGAGTGATGATTGGAATTCCCAGAGTCCCAAAGAAAAAGCCAGTTTGGGATTGATCATCTTGCTGATGATCTAACCTGAAAACAGAAAGTAACGCCTCCATAAGCATTTTCTTGAAGTCTGTGAGCATGACAAAAACCTCTCAGTCACAGCCCTGTGTGCTGGTTTGTAGGTGCTAGCCTGCCTTGTTGTCTTTGTCCACCACCCTGCTTTACTCTTGTCATCTGTTCCTCTGCATACTTCCAAGAGATGAGAAACATGTTTGTTCCTCTCAGGTCCTTTGGGTAGCACCCTTTCCTACTGTGTGTCAGCGAGTTCGTTTTTTGATGATGACAGAGCATTATGAACAGCAGGGTGGGAGAGTGTTCCACAGGGTTTGTGTCTGTGGCAGATAAAGATATAAGGAAACTTAACTTTTTGGAGGACCTAGTGCTGGAGAGCTAGGAAAGTTTCCTCCACAAATGTAGGATGCACACAGGAAATAGAATCCTTTTGTCCATCCTTCATCTCCTCAGCAAATGCCATGAGGACTGGCACACCTGTCTTGGGTGGCCTGGCAGGGACTGACCTGAAGCACCATACTTTGATCTTTTCCTTCACTGTACTTTTTCTCAGGGTGACATCCCTTGTTAGATTTTAGGAAGGTTTGCATGTGAGGTTGCTGTCCTCTGTCTTAGGAAAGAACTTTTATGAGAGAACTTCCTGGTTGTCTGACTGTTGCTCTCTGATGAGAAGAATCAGAATCCCTGGTAGCACTCGTGGAATATAGAAGGAGAACCCATAAGCCGGGTAGAAGTGGTGGTCCTAGAATAAAGAGCAGGGTAGGGTCTTCTGTGGGGAAGCCAAGGACAGTGTTTCCAGAGGGGAAGAGGCAGGTCTTAGTCATTGCTGTCATGAGGCTCCCTGTGCTGATGGGCCCATGGCTGAGATGACTAAGGTTTTCCAAGGCAAAGGGCAGAAGATGTGGTCTGACAGATACTTATGGAACTATGTACTTTATTACATTTATTTACTTAAATGAATTATGTGTTATTCATGGGGGGTTATGTACTCACATGATGATTGGCTTTTGGAGGGCAACTTGGGAGGAGT